TTATTATTATTATTATTATTATTATTATTATTATTATTATTATTATTATTTTTATTATTATTATTATTATTATTATTATTATTATTATTATTATTCAGCCTATATTTCCTTGCACTTTCTTTTTGGGTTAACTAAGAAAAAAAGTGTTATATTTTATATTAATTGAGTAATAATTGTATTTTTTATTGTGACATATAATATTTATCATTTAAATTATATTTTTACACTAAATGATACAATGTACAATTTACTTTAACCAATGATCAAATTTTAAAACATAATACTATTATCTAACTTATAATTTTAATATTATATGCATAAATATAACTTATAATACTCTATTTTTAGAATATTATATCATTATTTAACTTACAATTTTAATATTATATGAGAACAAATAACTTATAATAATTTATTTACATCTGTGCAAATGCAAAGGGTCGAATGCTTGTAGTGCATGATAAGGTACTTTTATCCTGAGATTCTATGACTACCAACTAACCTCTCGTGCATTTGTGGTTTGCAGATTCTTGCCATACGTAGGTTGGGTGACAATTATCATGACTGAAAAGCCTATCATCAAGGTTAATAACATTCTAGGCATTACCATCTCTCGTTTTTTTTCATAACGTCGATCTAAGTTCGTTGGCTTTGTAAATTGCAGTATATACTGATTGGAGCTTTGGGATTGCTGGTGATTACATCAAAAGAATAGGGCGAGCTGTACCTCAACATTGGAATTGACATAGTTTTCCGTAGAGGAATACATCCATTTGGATACTTCAAACAGCCCTGTATGTGATTTTGTAGACACAAATTACTACTGTAGGGCTTAAAGTGATCAACTGAATTGTGTTATTTGTGAGCATTGCATATCGTTGTTCCTTATTGTGCAAATTGTAGCATCTCTCTCTCTCTCTCTCTCTCTCTCTCTCTCTCTCTCTCTCTCTCTCTCTCTCACACACACACACACACACACACACACACTGATCAGTGATCACCATGTCTTGTTGGCGCAATACCTTAAGTCGGACGCAAAAAAATGGAAGTACAAGTGTTTGTTTGGACGAATGAGTGCTACTTGGATAGTAACTATTTCTGACGGTTACAAACCCTGGCGGAATGGTTCCGTAACGGGAACTTAGCATTTCTCTTAATAATATGGTTGAAACTTCAACATTATATGCACACTAGAAATTCTCATTTAAATTAATTTTTCTATGCAGAAGATTAAGGAAAGAAATGAATTTGTCAACAATGCTGTAAACATGACATACAATTCAAATATTACAAAAAAATAGGAAAACAAATAAAATCCAACAATTAATGATAAAATTCATGATTTTCTGTTATAGTAAAAAAAAATCACAATATATTTCTAGTATTTTATATTAATAGAAGTAGGATCATATTTTCCAATAATGAACAATAAAATTATAAAATCGTTGCAAAATTAAATATGTTTTTTTTCCCCAAAACCTCTTGACCAGGTAAGATTGTGTTGCATTCATACATATACACAACCGTGCTGAATCTCAAGTACATATAACAGGAAAATACTACGGTCTCCTTACGGAACTATTTCGTCGAGGTTTGTAACCGTTGGATCAATATAACGGGGAAATCATACGGTCCCGTTACGGAACCATTCTGTCGGGGTTTGTAACCGTTAAATCATCATGTAACCGTCGGGAATAGTTGATCCAACGGTTACAAACCCCGACTAAATGGTTTCGTAACGAGACCGTAGCATCTCCCCATATAACATAATCCTTATCCTTTTTTCATGGAAATCTCCCAATAATTAACATTTTTCCTTGTCCATAACCAGAAAATATACTAGACTTAAATGGTGGACCAGACCAGACCACTATATATTTACGTACACACATCTCGCAGATCAGTTTATACATAACAAAGGAGGACAAATTGAATATGGCAGAAGTCACAAACATATCTTTGATCATCTTCATTTCATTAGCTATCCTCTCACTCGCAAACAAATCATCCGCTTCGGACGTGTCCAGCGCGCTGTGCGGGCGGACCACTCACAGGGCCCTCTGCACGTCCATAGTCGGGAAGCAAACCACTCCCAATGCCGTTGCCCGACTAATCCGAGACCGGGCCGTCTCGACTGCTGTAGCCACTCTTGCCAGGATCAAAAGCCTCCTCAAAACAGCGGTGGACAAGCACGAGGTCTCGTCCCTCATGACGTGCGCTGCGGGCTACGCCAGGGCCGTCTCAAGCCTCAAGCGTGCCAATTTCAGGACAATCAGCGGTGGGACGTACGTGGCTTTGATTAAGGCAATAAGCGATGCAAACAACAAGCTGCGCGATTGCGAGCTCTCGTTCCAGGAGCCGCCTGCCGTGCGCTTCCCGATATCGGCTCAGAATCAGCTGTTGAGGGATATATGTTTAACTGATTTGGAGATTATCAACATTGTGGTGTGTGATAGCCGTTTCTTTTGTTAGTTGTACGTATTCAAACATTACTAATAAATAATATTTACAAAAGTATTTATTTATATTTTTGTTTACGCATATATTTTTATAATATGTTATTTTAATTCCCACATAAGTGGTTGTAAAGTTGAAAATTTGTGAATGTTATAAATCGACACTTCATTAAAAAGAATATAGTGTATAGTATAAACCGACATTAAATTTTTTTTTTCTATATTTTATAATAATGTATATTAAAATATTAGAAATTTCTTTCTAATAATTCACATGTCACATTAACATTGTTTATAATAATGTATATTAAAATATTAAAATATTAGAAATTTCTTTCTAATAATTATAAGCTAATAATTTACAATTTTGTTCAATATATGACTCATCGATTTATTATTATAATTTATAACAATATATATTATAAAAATTCTAAAGTTTTCTTTATAAGTTAATACTTTAAAAGAACGGTTCGACATTCGACAATGATCCATTAGCTTATCATCATAATTTTTACAATGTATATTATAAATATTTTAATTTTACTCAGATTACAATTTATATGTCAGTTCGATAAATGATACATTGGTTTATTATAATATATTAGTATTCATCCTGTGCACATGCATAAAGAAAAATAAAATTTTATATATTATATTTATGTATACAATATATACAAATTTTATATTAAATAATTGATGTATTACATTTTAAATTTGGACTACATGCAAATGTGTAATGTAAATATAATTTATTTAACTTGCGTATGAATCTTTATATTGATGCCATAAATTTTAATGGCTAATATAATTTAGTAATTTAGAGAGACCATAAAATTAATTAGTTAGAAAAGTATTACAATTATTTCTATCATTGTTATAGCATTTGTTTATGTGATTTTAAGGTGTTTAATTATGACACTCATGTCAATTAACTTATTAGATAAAAATCGCTTAAAAAGAACAAAAATATTTTATTTTAGAAAAAAGTATTTTAAATAAAAAAATTGCAATACAATTTTTTATAAGTATGTAACTTCCACATACTATTTAATGTAAAGTTGTAATGGGTTAGTGTTAGTAGTGAATAAATTATATTAAAATTATTATTACACCTTATTAATGTAAAATGTAACGGTTCTACATTAATTGAAAAAATGAGCGGGAAAATGAATAGAGGCTTTATTAAATGTTTTATTAAATTCTATATGCCAGCAATTATATAGATATAGATAACAATATGTTAAGGGTCGACGTCAACCACAATAATAGGGTGAATTAATAGCATAATTATGTGAGTTAAAGACAACAATTATTCAACATTTAGTGAGGGACTAATCTTCCTTATATATTAATCCAGAACATGCTGAGTCCCCCTTATATATTAATTCAGAACGCGCTGAGCCTACGTGGCTGTTTCTGGTACTTCGAAATCCTATGTGGCAAAATTACATGTTTCGTTATTAGGCTTGGGTAAATTTTAATTTAATTCCAAATAAAAAATAATTAGGTTCGGATTACCATAAATATATTGATTATTTATGGTCATGTTAAATGTATTAATTGTATTTTAATATCATTCCTTATTATAACTATTGAATTGTATATATATTTTAAAAGTTAATAATTTTTGTATTTTTTATCTGTTTTACATATGTAATATATCAAATTAATCTTCTTTTTGATTAGCTTCGATTTAACATCCATATTGTATGTATAAAAAAAATAATTTATATTCATCTTTATAACAATAATAAATTTATTTTTAATATTAATTAGAAAAATAAAATTATTTATCAACTAATATACCTATGTGGCAAAATTACATGCTTCGTTATTAGGCTTGGGTAAATTTTAATTTAATTCCAAATAAAAAATAATTAGGTTCGGATTACCATAAATATGTTGATTATTTATGGTCATGTTAAATGTATTAATTGCATTTTAATATCATTCCTTATTATAACTATTGAATTGTATATATATTTTAAAAGTTAATAACTTTTGTATTTTTTATCTGTTTTTATGTAATATATCAAATTAATCTTCTTTTGATGAGCTTCGATTTAACATCCATATTGTACGTATAAAAAGATAATTTATATTTATCTTTATAACAATAATAAAATTATTTTTAATATTAATTAGAAAAATAAAATTATTTATCAACTAATATATTTATATTTCAAGTAGTTATATGATATAAGTTATAAAAACTAATATGATATAACACATGTAAGTCATAAGTAACACATATCATTCTAAAATATATAATAATATATTTTTTTGGTAAAAAAGTAAACTAAATTTAATATAATTTTCTCATTAATTTTAAAATTTAAATATAATTTTTTAACAAGCACCCATGTAATACACGGGTGTTGTACTAGTGTGATTTGGAAAATAAAAAGAGATTCGCCAATATTGAATTAGAGATTGGCACGATGAAGAAGCATCAAGAGTGCATTGTATGTATTTTTTTTTTTTTTTTTCCTTTTTTCTTTATATTATGAACATGAGGAGCTCAATTTATACATGTAAAAAGTAGGCAGATAATTATGGCTATGAGCCAGCTCAGCGTGTAGGAGATAACACGCACCCTCATAAAAAAACTCTCCTTTTAATAATAAGACCGATTGAGCTATCAATTTAACAATTCGTTTGGTCAGTTCCCAGTTACGCTGTAGAGAGAACGACAATCTTCATAGGGGAGAAACAAAAATAGATTGACATCTAGGTTTGAATGTGAATTGGTATAACATTTGTAGTATGACTTCTTGGGTTGTTCCTTTTTTGCAATTTTAGAGTCCTAATTTCATCGTGGTTGATGCGTTTCTAAACTTAGTGGGTCTGCTCAAAACGGATAAGTTTAATGCATAACAAGAAGGCCCCCATGTTTTCAGGTGTATAGGGGATCGTTTGATTGCTATATGCCTGGGAAGCTACTTGCTAAGGTTGAACCGTGTGTCGGTCTCTTTATGTGGTCGCCAATACTTTTTAAATGAGAAGAGATAGAGATACAACATTTTCGGAGATAACGTGCATCTTTTTCAGACATGAGGAACAATTGTCGGCATGAGGAAGCGTTGATTCGCTGCTCTTGATGTGAATAGATGTGACCTTTGGACTTGTGCCTTAATACGAATAGATGTAATGATTGGAGTGTGGTTTACTCGTATAAATAAAATTTTGTCGGTATTTGAAATATTCCACTTTCTTTAAACTTGAATTTGAATTTCCTTTTGCCTCAAATTTTATTTTC